TGGAGTGTACAGCTTAAAGTGGTCCTATGGACAAATACTCCAATCTCCGCTGTGGAGCTTTGCAGGTCCTTTAGGGTTATCTTTGGTCTCTTTGTTGCCTCTCTGATTAATGCCCTCCTTGCCTGGTCCGTGGGTTTTGGTGGGCGGCAGGTTTGTTATGGTGCCATATTCTTTCTATTTTTTAATAATGGATTTAATGGTGCTCCGTGGGATGTTCAAAGTTTCAGATATTTTTTTATAACCCAACCCTGATCTGTACTTCTCCACAACTTTGTCCCTGACCTGTTTGGAGAGCTCCGTGGTCTTCATGGTGCTGCTTGCTTGGTGGTGCCCCTTGCTTAGGGGTGTTGCAGACTCTGGGGCTTTTCAGAACAGGTGTATATATACTGAGATCATGTGACAGATCATGTGACACTTAGATTGCACACAGGTGGACTTTATGTAACTAATTATGTGACTTCTGAAGGTAATTGGTTGCACCAGATCTTATTTAGGGGCTTCATAGCAAAGGGGGTGAATACATATGCACGCACCCCTTTTCCGTTATTAATTTTTTAGAATTTCTTTAAACAAGTTATTTTTTTCATTTCACTTCACCAATTTGGACTATTTTGTGTATGTCCATGACATGAAATCCAAATAAAAATCAATTTAAATTACAGGTTGTAATGCAATAAAATAGGAAAAACGCCAAGGGGGATGAATACTTTTGCAAGGCACTGTAAGTGCTTGTAGTTTGTCCACTTTATTATCAATCGATTGTAAGTTGGCCAATAGTATCAATGGCAAAGGCAGATTAGCCACTCATCGCCGGCTCCTTACCAGGCACCCCGATCTCCTTCCGCGATATCTCCTTTTCTTTCTACTGCGAATGACGGTCATAAGAGACGGTAGCAGCAACATTATGTAAAAAATAAGTTGCAAACAATGTGAAAAAACACACAAAATAGCACGGTTGGTTAAGAGTCCATAAAACGGCAGCCATCCCCAAGTTGTAGACCTTACCTTGAAATGCTTATTTACAAGCCCTTAACCAACAATGCAGTTCAAGAAATAGAGTTAAGAAAATATTTACTAAATAAAATAAGGTAAAAATGTAAATAAAAAGTAAAACAATAAAATAACAATAACAAGGCTATATGCAGGGGGTACCGGTACTGAGTCAATGTGCGGGGGTACTGGTTAGTCGAGGTAGTTTGTACATGTAGGTAGGGGTAATGCAATTTCAGAATGTGGGGGGGGACATGTCCCCCCGGTCCCCAGTGAAAGTTGCACCCCTGGTTGGAATTGTAAGAGTTGTTGCCCTGTCCCTTTCTCTGCAATTGTCATTCTAATGGAATCCAGAAAGAACAAAACCCTGTCCTCAAACATTTACATCAAAAGGTGCAAAGTTATGGGCAAAGACACAAAACATTCACATCAAATGAAATATTTTTCTTGATTAAATAAAATGTAAAAAACAACCACTTTTTGTGCAGTATTAATTTACCATCCTACAAACTACTTAATTTAAATGTACATTACTATATCTAGGTTTGTACCTGTAGACTTTCCATCACCATGAAGAAAAACAATACACAATACAGTAATTGAGTACATCAACACATCAAGTGGTTTGTGATGATGTGGTGATGTGGCTCAGTTGGCAGAGGATGGCGCTTGAAATGCTAGGGTGGTGGGTTCGATTCCCATGGGGGACCAGTACAAAAAAGTATGAAAATGTATGTACTCACTACTGTAAATTTGTCACGCCCTGACCTATAGACTCTAGTTAGTTTGGTCAGGGTGTGAATATATGTGGGGGGTTTTCTATGTGGGGATTCTATGTTTCTATTTCTATGTCTGGCCGGGTGTGATTCCCAATCAGAGGCAGCTGTCGCTCGTTGTCTCTGATTGGGGATCATACTTAGACAGCCAGTTTTCCTGCCTGTGTTGTGGGATCTTGTTTGTGTTCGGTTAGTGTGGCTTGTTTAGTGTTAGCCTGCCGATGTCACGTTTCGGTGCCTTTTGTTGTTTTGTATGTTTATTCAGTTCAATAAACATGGATGCATTTCACGCTGCGCCTTGGTCTGACCCGTCCTTCAACGTCCGTGACAAAATTGCTCTGGATGAGCGTCTACTAAAATGGAAAAGGAATAAATACACCGTTTCAGTTTTAACATAGAAATAAGTTTTATTTGCAAAGTATTTCAAGAAACTGGAAAACATATAACAAGCAAGTGCTTTATATTCCACAAGTGTTATCAGATTAACTGTTTTGTACAGATAATTATCAGACTCAAATTACAAATGCTGTTAAACACTCAAATACATCTAGTTAAAATGTTTTCACAAAAGTAGTGCACTAGTCCTGTATTAGACCTATATACTGTAGAAGTCTTCAGTGGGGGCAAAAATACATTCTAGATTTACAGGATTATTGTTCAACCCCTATTGTTTGAACTTTAATATAACAACTTTCAGGATGAATCAAACCACTGTATTTTTAATTCATCAACATATTTAATGAGTAAAGGCTCTCCAAACCTGTTTTTTTAATCATTCTTACATATTTTCGTAACCCCAAAATTTACCTGGTCTATGAGCATTTCCTAGTATTCTGTACATAAATCTGAGACACTTCATTTAGTATGATATGTATTAATTTGTGGAAGTCCATCACCCATTTCATATGCTATGTTACGAATTACAATTCGTATTATATGTTACGAATTTGCAAAATGTATAATATGTATGAATTTGCAAACGTACTATATGCTACGAATATGCAAAAAGTATGATATGTTACAAATTCTAGCTAGGTGGATAACGTTAGCTAGGCTAGCAGTTAAGGGTTAAGGTTAGGGTTAGGGGAAGGGTTAGCTAAAAGGGTTAAGGTTAGGGTTAGATAAAAAGGTTAAGGTTAGGGGAAGGGTTAGCTAACATGGGTTAGGGTTAGGGTTAAAAAGTACTTTAGTTTTTGCCTTAAGTAACCATCTCTCTTATGTAACCATACCAAACGTAACATATCATACTAATTTCAGTATCTCAGATTTACTTTTACTATGTTACGTCTAGTCTATGAGACCAGGCTGCAAAAAAATTTGACAAAAATCTATTGGCCAGCAAGTGGGAGTGTTTTCAGCAGCAGTGGCGTGTATTATAATAATATGCCATTTAGCAGACGCTTTTATCCAAAGCGACTTACAGTCATGTGCGCATACATTTTTACGTATGGGTGGTCCCGGGGATCGAACCCACTACCCTAGCGTTACAAGCGCCATGCTCTACCAATTGAGCTACAGAGGACCACAATTCAATATTCATGGATGCCAATGGAAGCCAGGCTTCCCCCAAAAATGTACCAAGAAAAAATCATATAAAATAATGTATATATGTGTTTCATAATTGTCCTTCAATTTGCAAAAGGCTGAATGTACCTCACTGGAGAAAGCATCCGAGCGAGCGAAACAGCGCCCCTCTGTCTCTGTATGTGTAGCCCATCTACCTGATGCTGTCTGGTCAAAAAGAGTATGACATTGTTGCCGCCCGTAGCATTGAATGCAAGGGTAGTGGTACAGTGGTACACAGGAACCAGAGGGCCACACAAACATTTTATTCAGTTTACTTACACAGCTCATAAAAGTTTCAAATAGAAACAGAGAGAAACAGGGATGACAAATAGATACATAGTAACAAATAGCAAACAGAAAATGGTAGAAATTATAAAGTCAGATAAAAGTACTCATATAGAAACAAATGCAGTCCATTTTTTGAATTGTACGTTTTACCATGCATGGTTACGAACAAGTCCTATGTGTTCGTACAGGCTTACATAAAAGTACAATATATATTACAAAGACATTGTATGGATTATACATCAGTATTATTTCTCAATATTTTAAAACAAAGGCTAAATGTATCATCTAAATAGATATAAATAGTTTATTACAGAGTTAACCCACCTATTTTCTAATTTGTTTCAATTATTGTAAACAGACAATCATTCACAATTTCAGCAATACATTTGCCTTCAATAAATTGAATAAATATTGCTTTTTAGTTGTTTGATATGTTCTCTTTCTGTGCTTTATTTTTGTATGTGGAGTACTTTATTTATATCCTTGTTGCCTTCCTCACTTTCAACACTACTAGTGCTGACTGATTAACCAAAATGTCGGTTATTTTTAGTTTTTTAAACAACTAATTGACCACATTGGTTCAATTATTTGAATTCCATTTGGTTGTATTTTTTTTGTGTGAGCTGAGTGCACATTTATACTGTTTCTCTGGAGCTAAATCAGATCACGCCTGAACTGTGCGATGTAGTAGGGAGTTGTAGTTTCCAACAGGCCAATATTCTACATAGTTTAGCGCATAAAATGTGATATGAACTACAATTACCATAATCCATTGCACATCTACTTGTCTGGTCTGTTTCTTTTACGCCTGCTAGGGAAGAGAGAAGAATACTCGATCGTGAGGTGAGAACAGCTATTGCTTCATGAGGTATCTACCTGAAATTACATTATCTAAGTGATTGATAGTTGGTATTCAGCAGTCATAAAAGTATGCCTTATTTACTTTGATGAACTACAAAATAGTAAATTTGTCAGACAGCATAGGCAGAAGCTCTATAGGGAAGAGATGATGACTTGGAATGAAATAATAAAGTCATCAAATAAAACAAATCTAATATACACAACAACTGAAATATTTTATTGAAGTAAAGTAATGTGAATAAATGATGGTTAATAAGTGATAAGCAGTAATGGGCAGTATATATTATTATATTGTTTTATTCTGTGTTGTTTCAGCATTCAACCCACATAATGCATAGTGCATTTCATGTAAAAAATTATAATAATCGAAACCGAAATCGAAAAAAACGTGATTCTTTTTTTATAATTAAACCGAAACGACCTCAAAAAGCACTAATCGCTCATCGCTAAACACTACATCCATAGTTATTTGCTTTTTTTCACCAGCCCTTGTATGTTTTCTACCATGACCTCTTAAAGCTACGAAACCCTTCTCCTGGAATTGGTACGACCCAGGCTGCTGAGGCTGGCAGTGCTAGATCTACGGGAGAGACCAAGCGTGGGTCCAGTGGAGGAGACGGGGGAGACGGGGGAGACCTCGTTAGGACAGCCATGTTGCAGCAGGATGTCAGCACACTCTTTGCTCCCAGTCTTTCTGGCCATGGTCAGGGCTGTCTGGCCATGGGGATCCCTGGCCTTCACATCACTTCCATACTGCAAGGAGAGAGAGATTGAACAATTCACCATTTACATTCTGTATAAAATGACCAAAAAGTATAATCATTGAGAATGTGGTAAATTAATGAATGCATTATGTTCATTTGACATCACTTGACTTGGGCAAAAGACTAACAAAGTGCTTCCAGTGCTTGGGAAAGATATGAACTCATTTGTCCAGACCAGGGCCTTACCCAGACTAGCAGCTGTGTCATGACCACATCCCCCAGCTGACAGGCAGCGTGCAAGGCGGTGTGAGGCTGTGTCTGTGAGGGTGCTCCTCCGGTGGACAGGGCAATGTTGATCTGGTCCTTGTTGCTGTGGGCCAGGAGCAGTAGGAGCCTGGGCAAGTCCCTTTCTGTCACCGCCGACAGCAGACACACAGACATAGCAGTGTCCCCTGGGCCTGTGGAGCTTGGAGGAGGCAGGGGTGCCACAAACACCCGTTGCTCGTATTTGGCACGGATCCATGATTCTCTCTCCTCCCTGTGAGAGAGACCCGAACATAGATGAGTGACCATGAGTTACCATGGCAACTCTTCATGGATCAGAAGAGAGATCTCTGTGACAATATATACGGTACCTTCCATTTGATGTACTGCAACACATTCTTGGATGCAATCATTTCAATCTTATTCTAGTCTAATAATGGTCTTCATTGGACAAAAAGAAGGGCTTTTCTTTTGAGCTCTCACGAAACAGGTAAAAATCGAATAAAGCTGAAGATTTTCCATATCTATTACATTCAACCAGTGCCCTCACCGTGTGGCGTTGGGTGTGGGTTTGTGTCTGCCCTGGGTGTGGCTCTCCCAGATGCTATTGGCCAGGTGGTTGCCGATGGCGGTCAGGACCTGGGTGAGCTCCAAAGGCCAGTCATCCAGGTCCAGAGAGCGGACCCTCGACAGGTGTGTCCCCAGGTTACGGTGGATCCCTGAACACTCAATGCAGATCAACGCACCCAGGTTGAGACTGGCCCATGTGGGGTCTGGATGAAGGATAGACAAACCCGAGCATAGGAAGTGAGATACAAGCGCAGTCTGCATCTAACGTAATCAAATAATAGATGCCCATAACAAGGGTCATGGCTAGAAGGGATCCAGCTTTTGTCAAATTCACTTCAAATGTTGTTGTTTTTTGTTGCATTTTAGCTATCCTTAACCCTATCAAATCTGATGTGAATATTACAAATGTTGGATCCCTTCTAGCCATGACCCATAACAAGGGACATAGAGAGACAGAGAGAGCCTAGAAACCCACTTGGTGCTTCGCAGTCCACACAGAAGCTGTTGCCCTTGGCATTGCGGATGGCCTGTATTGCTACTGCCTCACTCTGGCTGCTCCTCCGTGCCTATAAAACAACACACACCCATTTCCCGGGCATGAAGTGCATGTGGCTGCCAATGTCACTAGAGAGATCAGCACCTTGGACAGTGATAGCGGTTCCTGTCAATACACAGACAAACGGCAGAATCTCCCCTCCCCAATTACAGAACAGAAATTCAGAAGGAACATTTCTATACTATCAGACATTATTACACTATAGGCCTGGCCTACAAACAGAAATAATTACACACACATGTAACTAAGGGCATTGTAATGTTAATGCCAGTGCATTGTGGTCCTTGCCTTGTTCCTAAGGCTCTCACAGGACTGCAGGCTGGCGAGGATCTGGCTCTCTATGGCCGTCACCCAGGCATCTCTTTCCTCTAGACTCTGGGCCTCAAAGTGCCATGTCTGCCCCGAGCTGGACACAATGATGAAGTCAACATTCTCCTCATCTACAAAGATAGGTTGGTAATATGCAGGGGGGAAAAATACAACATATATTTTAGTACGTTTGAACGCTGTTAAACACTTATTTGACATATATGACAATTACAACATACAAACAGACTCACTGTGCCACCATGATATGTTCGCAGAGCAGGCAAAAGGCATGCAATAGGGTGACAAAAGGGTGAACATGAAAGATTGGTAGTAATAAGGAAAACAAACAATGAGCTTTATAAATCACAGTTTCGATCCAAATGTGCAATACAGGTAAACAGTGACAGACAAACAGACAAACAGACAACCAACACAGGTAGATTCAGTGATCCAGCTCCTTATGTTCCTATTTACCTGTCTTGTTAATATTTCTTAAGCTACCAAAGCTTTTTAATTTCCACATTTTGCGCTTGGCTGCAGGGCAACAGATTAGCCCAGAGAAGCAGGAGAGGAGGAGAAGAAGGAAAATAAGAGCAAACGAGATTGATATAAATAGTGCAGAATAATCTGTAAGAGATGTACAGTAATAGGCCCAGAGCTCACCTTCAGCCAGTCCAATGGCTGTGTCGCCTTTCTGGTTCATACTCTTCTTCCTTGTTTTCTTCTTTCTGTCAATCATTGGAGAGGATTGACCGTCTTTTCCAAAAGGGGGACTGGTTACTCCTTCAATAGCTTCTGACATTGGGGTCAAATAAAACACTGTTTGTTATGTGTTCACAGCTCTATTGGCATACTTTATATTAGAAACCCATTATTATTAATGGAAATGTAACACAAAAATGGTTTTCTGACATACCAGCACTGTGTGACTTGCTGGACAGTGACGATGGACAGCATTTTACCCCTCTATCTCCTGGAGGAGGCAATGCCCCAGCCTGTTCTTCAACAGGCACAAGGCTGGGTGGCAACAATGGGGCACTGGTGCTCTCCGTGGCCCCAGTGTCTTTGACTACGTCGTTGAGGCCAGGGGAGGGGGAGGGGCCACAAGGGGGGACAGCCCTGGGTGGGCGTTTCCCTGGAACCTTCACTGTGACACGCAATAGGTCGATCTCTTTAGCGTGAGCATTCTGCAAGTAGTCGTGAAACCGCCAAAATCATTCCCATTACTAGGATGATGTGCTGAATATCACTAGACTAATATTAATATTGCAATTTTACTGTGTATTACAGTTCACAACACAGTGGATTCTCTTATCCAAAGTAGATTTTAAGATAACAAATAACTGTGATTCAAAATTCAAAAAGCACTCGCACATCTGAGCTATCTTTGTTGCAGGTGCATGGTAACAGTTGAATAAGATGAGAAACAAGAAGAAACCCACACGCTGCTCTTGCTAGTATCACTACTCTTTATTAAGCTGTTATGCGGCCCCGAGCAGCTTAATAAAGCTAGCAAGAGCAGTGTGCGGGTTTCTTCTTTATTCTCAAGATAACAAAGAACTAAAATGAGATATTACTGATGTTGATCTGGTTGATTGTGGTGTGACTTACATTGATGCTGGAGTGGTAAGCCAGTGTGCCGTTGCTGGACAGAGTGACATATTTCTTCTTCCACTCTTTGTTCAGTGAGCTCCCACTCCGCTTCCATAGGATACTCTGTTACAAACAATGGGTTTAATGTTCCCTTCTATTACTGAGGATACAACGGAACTAGCCTATTCATTCTACATAGTATCCAGTGTGCGTCACACTGACCTGTTTGATAGTGATAGCCCGGCCACTGCCCAAGTCACCTTTAGGGTCAACATTCTTTTCACTGCCACTGCCTCGACGGTTCTGAGAGAAGTTGTATCAAGACAATAGAGTTAGAGATGAGTGTGACAGGTATAAAGACAGACTGACACAAGTTTACAGGACAGACCCATGTAGTGAGATGAGTGACAACATGATGATGAGGAAGACAAATCTAGCAGTGTAACTACTACTATATCTACAATTGTTAATGTATTTTCAGCTCTCTTTCGATAATCAGTTTGTTTGAATTGTATGGCTCTTTGGGACATTGTTCCGCTGATGAAAGAGTCTTATCATTTGATCACCAGAGATTCTGAGAACAGTAACTGACCTTGAACAGGGAGGTTCGTCGTTGAGGGACGTTTCTCAGGGACCCTGAGGAGGTGGCACTGCCGCCCCCCTCTCCCCCCGCCCCCACCCCCGTCCCTGCCCCGCCCCGTAGCTCTCTATGGCTGATCACGGGAGTGGAGGGTAGGGAGGAGGGGTAGCTACTACTCAGTCCTCCATTACTAGCCTGAGAGGTGAGGACAGACAGAGGGACAGGGGGATGGACAAGAGGAATACAAAGAGAGGATGGGAGGAAGTGGACAAATGAGATGAAACAGAGAAGACGAGGCAAACGGACAATTGACACAATGTTCTTCCTTCTGAATACACTTGGTATCTACTAGGATAAATCCTACAACAGTGGTTCCCAAACGTTTTGAACCATTCTTTGAATCCATGTATGGCCTCCTTTTATCCCCCAGATGAACTAAAAACCATGTACAGTATCTAGCCACAGCTCAAGGTTAAGTCTAGGCTCATATAGGAGGAGCTACAATCCTACAACTGTTATCCACCTGTGGGTCCCACTGGCTACAGTATTGATTTTCTGTCAACAACACAGACGAGGTAAGCCTGGGAAAAATACAGATGTGAACAGTGTGTAGCATGTTACCTGTCCAGGGAAGGATGTTGACCCAGGTGTGGCGCCCCCAGTGTGACTGGGGGAGTTGGGGAGAGACTTGCAGGAGGCCAGCAGGGCAGACTGCTTCTTCTGTGTGACTATCTTCTGGGCAGCTGAGAGGAGAGAGCAAGATTAGTGAGAAGGCACTAATTGCTAATGACTTTACATTGTATTGTCCAGCATGTGAACTGGATTGTTAGGTGGGTAAAGATCATTTTTATATCACCCTTTATGTGGGATGATTTTGCCTTTAAATAATTTGTGAAGCATATATGTTGTAGTGCTTTATGAAGACTGAATATTTGTGTTTAAAGTAGGACTGAAATTCTGTATTGTGTTGGCACAACAACAATGTGCCTGTCCCTTTGGATCCCACTGCTAACACCAATGTACTCAATGTCAGTTGACTCACCCTCCTGAAACACCCGGTCCACGTTGAGCCCATAGGTGGCGCAAGTCTCATAGAACACACAATGCCTCACATCAACACATAGCTGCCGAGCGCGTATGTCCTCAATCACACGCAGGTTGGTGCTGCTGATTTTGTCTACATAGCAAAGACAGATGAAGTCACGAACACTTTACATTGCAAGAGTAACAGATCATTGGAATCCAAATAAACAAACAAGCACTCACTGTTTCCAGTGTGATCTGCAATTCGTCTATAATGGATCTCTATCTGTTACATGCCCATTATAATTAATAGCGTTAATCCATCCCCTAAAGTCGTCCATTCCTGCCTCATGTCCCTTACCTTGTGTCCCAACAACAACCAGTGGGATGTCGGCAGTGCTGCGGTGTGTGTTGAGCTGGCTGTACAGTTTATACACCTCCTGGAAGCTGGCCTCATTCTCCAGACTGAACACGAGGACCACTGCATCCACCCAGCTGCTGAACTGGAGACAGAGATTTGATGGGATAGGAAGAGAGAGGGAGAAGAATGCAGAACGAGTCAGCGATAGCAGTATTGGTTAAGTATTGGATAAATAACCCACAAAAATAGAATGGATTTTTACCAAATAATCAAATGTATTTCAGTGAATTCTATTAATCAATCTTTCTGTGTGTCTGTTGCTATAGCGACACATTCTTGCACATCGATAACAACAAGGCTGTATGGTTCAGAGGGTACAGGTACACACAAAAACATACCTGTGCATCAGGAAGCGCAGCCTCCTCCCTGATGAGTAGTAGATGGTTCTGTCCATCTACCAATACCTCCTTCTTATACCTCCCCCCTGACAATGGAACAGTAGAGCAGAGGTTAATTACTGTGTGTCAGAGATTCATGAAAGATAAAATGGTAGGACTGCAGAGTTTTTCGTTATAGGAACGAAGAGGACAAGATTGGAGTTTTTCATGCTTACCTTCAATCTTCTCTAGTGGAAGATAGCTGCCTGTTATGTATCTATTGACCAATGCTGACCTGCCACTCCGAAGACTTCCCAGCACCCCCTGCACAGATTAAATAAGTTATGAAACACACACATAACCTATCTTCACTGATGTGGCAGTTTCCCTGAAGGAAGTGGGTAGATGAAGCTCTATCTAACTTCACTTTCAATTAGCCTTTCAAATGACCTTTCATGAGGATGGAGTTGTCTTACCACACGGAGCTCTGGGATGGATCGACTCAGTGTCCACTCTTGACTATTTGCAGAAGCCGCTGCTTGGGGACAAAGGGAGAGAGGGAGAGATAGAGAGCGAGAGAGAGATAATAATTTGGATAATGCTAGGGGAATTTCATAACGGCCTTGGAAAGGGATAGCGATAAATTACTGCTATGTGAATTCTAACTGTGTGGCAGCCAGACATGTGGATTTGTGTAAATTCTGCTTCTATATACTGTATGTTGTCTGTATATCCTGTTTGTCTGTCTGTATATCCTGTTTGTCTGTCTGTATATCCTGTTTGTCTGTCTGTATATTCTGTTTATTGTGGTTTATTGTGGCAGCACCATTTCAAATTCCTGTACATGCAAATGTATACTGAACAAAAATATAAATGCAACATGTAAAGTGTTGGTCCCATGTTTCATGATTTGAAATAAAAGATCCTAGATATTTTCCATACGTACAAAAAGCTTATTTCTCTCAAATGTTGTGCACAAATGTGTCTACATCATTGTTAGGGAGCATTTCTCCTTTACCAAGATAATCCATCCACCTGACAGGTGTGGCGTATCAAGAAGATGATTAAACAGCATGATCATTACACAGGTGCACCTTGTGCCAGGGACAATAAAAGGCCACTCTAAAATGTGCAGTTTTGTAACACAACACAATGCTTTGAGGGAGCGTGCAATTGGCATGCTGACTTCAGGAATGTCTACTAGAGCTGTTGCCAGAGGATTTAATGTTCATTTCTCTACCATAAGCCACCTCCAACTTCATTTTAGAGAATTTGGCAGTACATCTAACCGGCCTCACAACCACAGACCACGTGTAACCACGCCAGCCCAGGACCGCCATATCCGGCTTCTTCACTTGCGGGATCTTCTGAGACCAGCCACCCAGACAGCTGATGAAACTGGGGGTTTGCACAACCGAAGAAAAACAGTCACAAAACGCCTCACCAGCGTCTTGACCTGACTGCAGTTTGGCATCGTAACTGACTTCAGTGGGCAAATTCTCACCTCCGATGGCCACTGGCACACTGGAGAAGTGTGCTCTTCACGGATGAATCCTGGTTTCAACTGTACCGGGCAGATGGCCGACGTGTTGGCGAGCGGTTTGCTGATGTCAACGATGTGAACAGAGTGCCCCATGGTGGCGGTGGGGTTATGATATGGGCAGGCATAAGCTACGGACAACCAACACAATTGCATTTTATCGATGGCAATTTGAATGCACAGAGATACCGTGACGAGATCCTGAGGCCCATTTTTATGCCATTCATCCACATGATAATGCATGGCCCCATGTCGCAAGGATCTGTACACAATTCCTGGATACTGAAAATGTCCCAGTTCTTCCACTGCCTGCATTCTCACCAGACATGTCACCCATTGAGCATGTTTGCGATGCTCTGGATCAATGTGTACGACAGCGTGTTCCAGTTCCCGCCAATATCCAGCAACTTCGCACAGCCATTGAAGAGGAGTGGGACAACATTCCACAGGCCACAATCAACAGCTTGATCAACTCTATGTGAAGGAGATATGTTGAGCTGCATGAGGTCACACCAGACTACATGAGGTCACACCAGATACTGACTGGTTTTCTGATCCACGCCTCTACCTTTTTTTAAGGTATATCTGACCAACAGATGCATAACTTTATTCCCAGTCATGTGAAATCCATAGATTAGGGCCTAATGAATTTATTTCAATTGACTGATTTAATTATATAACATCTTTTAAATTGTTGCAAGTTGCGTTTATATTTTTGTTCAGTGTAATTGGCGAATAAAGGTTATTCTGATTCTGATGAAAGCAACCTTTCACTATAATATAAACTACTGGATTTAACTAGTTTTTCAATTCACTGTTTATCCACTCTGCCCCTCAGAGGCTCGCAAAAGTATGTGTTGTTCTCCTAGAATGCCCTTTATATGCTGAAGCTGCCAGTCAAGGCATCTGGTTTCGCAAAGGATCAAAGTGTCTAAAGGTGTCTGATGCAGGGAACTCCCCTTGCACTCCTTTTGCAAAGACAGAGAGAAGGTTCAGTGACACTGCTGCGTTCTTCGCCCTCTACCAGTAGAACACTACACACACACACACAGTCACGGTCAGCTCACACACAGCTGTGCCACACTGCCACTGTCCCTGCTGGGCTAGAGAGGTGACATGCCCCCAATACGATGTGACGCACACACTCCAAGACCCCCAGTTGTCTCTGTCCACTGTCCACAGCTGTGGCTCTGTGATGAGAGAGAGCGCAGGGTGCTGAGTGCCACTGTGTTGCTGTGGTAGGTTCCAGGGACAGACCATTATACCTCACAACCGCCTGGTTCTGATCTGAATCATGGCTACAGACCATCAGACGAGCCCCTCACAGATGTATCCCCATTCAGATACACAATGAGTGCAGAGAAGATGGGGCAAGAAAAAGAGAGGGAGGAGAAAATGGGCTTTTACACACACTACGGGCAGCTCTCTAGATTTACATTTACATTTTAGTCATTTAGCAGACGCTCTTATCCAGAGCGACTTACATTTAGTGAATACATATATTTTTTTTTATACTGGCCCCCCGTGGGAATCAAACCCACAACCCTGGCGTTGCAAACGCCATGCTCTATCAACTGAGCTACATCCCTGCCGGCCATTGCCTCCCCTACCCTGGACGACGCTGGGCCAATTGTGCACCGCCCATGAGTCTCCCGGTCGCGGCCGGCTGCGACAGAGCCTGGATTCGAACCAGGATCTCTAGTGGCACAGTTAGCACTGCGATGCAGTGCCTTAGACCACTGCGCCACTCAGGAGTGGATAAGAGACAAACTTGATCTATCTGAATTCATCTCCAGTCAAAGGGCTCTTTATGTGCCAGGCCACATGAGAGATGTTGCCAAAGCAATTAGACAGCATGATCCTTATACAGCTGCCTGCAACACACTCCGTATAAAGCGGAATATCGAGAGTCCCTCTTAGTACTGTATGAAAACAACTGTCACATGTTACTGACATTCAAAGAACCCTTCCAGTGCACTACCCTTCCATTATTTTTTAGGAACATCAAAAGTCTCACTCTTCCCCTCCATTTCATCTGTCTCTCTCTCTCTCCATTGTACAACACACCCATAACATACATTTCTCATAGCCCTCCCCATGTTGCTATGGCAACCTTTCCTCCAGACCCTACTAGCCTGATTCTGCTCTTGCCCAGAGAACACGTACGTGACTAGACACAGAACACATGCATGTGTAACAGCATGAATAATATACAGACACTTTAGGCACATACTTATATTGAGCAAACATACATAAAATAAGTTCAAACTAATATTTAACACAAGCTGCAGGCACATACCAGTGAAACCGCTTGTTAATACAGTCCACAGACATTAATGCTTGCATGTTATTGACCTTGACATAAATGTGTAATGATTTAAGTGACATGTCTTTTTTGTCAGAGGCAGATGAAACTACAAGGCGTTCTTATGTTTTATCAACTTCTCACACAAATAGGGCATATTTATTATTTATAGACCATAGAATGTCAGATGGTTGAAAATATGAAGTACAGGGAAGAGAGAGAGAGAGAGAGAGAGAGATGAGAGATCTATAGGCGAGATAGAGAGACATCGAGCTTCTCTCGTCGCGATCTCTGCTCTCTCTCGAGTCATCGCCTCGCGCCGCTCTCTCCCTCTACTCTCTCTGTCCGCGCTCTTCTGCGATCCCTCTCTGCATATCGCGATCGGCCTTTCGTCTATCTCGCTATAGCTCTCCTCCCGAATCCAGCTCACTACGTCTCCCTCGCTCTCTCTCTCGCTCCTCGAGAGGGGGTGCCCAGAGATGTTTGTGGAGGAATAGTCAGTCATTGAGTGGGCGGAACATCAAAGATATGGATTAAGGATATTGGCTGTAATTGCACTTTCACAGAGGATATTCATATTGTCAAATTTCCCTCCAAACGCTCCAGTTTTGCTAAGGCAGCAGCCAAAGCAATACATCAAAATAACAGATAGTCATGGTGCCATGCTGTCAGCCTGCTGCCACAGCCTGGGCTTTAACCAGGGCTGTATATCCATAATATATACTGTAGCTCTGGCTTTAATCATTAGGATCATTATGAGAGTTAAACAATGGCGGTGTCCTAAATGGCACCCTATTTCCTATTTAGTGCACTACTTTTAACCAGAACCCAATGGGCCCTGATCAAAAGTAGTGCACTAAATAGGGAATAGGGTGCCATTTGGGGAGAACACACAGTGTAGCTACGCTGTGGAGAGATTACCCCTTCAGGCTGCGTGAAATCACCCCTGCTCCATACAGAAGGGAATTAGATTAAAACTGTCCACTATTGTCAGCTCAGAGATCAAAATACTTTCTATCATGGTTTTACAGTCACACATGGCTCTAAGTCAAACCTCACAAACACGTGACATCCCTTTTATTATGAGCTCTATATCAAATGTATGTGAGGCTCTCGGAATAGCTTATTCCCTTCCCTCCATTACAGATGAATTCCTCTGCATATGGATCAAATTCAAGACTAGAATAAAATGGATACTCGTTTGATTCCTCCTTGACTTTCTTGTTACATGACTGAAAAGCAGCAGACAGACATTTGCTCTTGATCTTTATGTAAAGTATTTCAACCCTTAGAGCAGTGTGTGTGTGTGTGTGTGAGAGAGAGAGAGAGAGAGAGAGTCTGAAGGGACTCTGCTTCATTTTAGAGAATGTTGTGAGTGTGGGAGGAGGAGAGGAGAGATGGCTATTGGGCTGGGACACAGGGGCGGTGTCATTGTGGGACCCTTATTGTTTGATAGTTTCAATATAAGAGAGTGCATTGTTTGTGTGTGTGTGCTTGCGTGTGTGCTTGCGGTGTCCTACCGTCCTCCTCACTGGACTCTCTCTGAATATTGCAGACAGGGGGAAGTGTTGCTGTACTAGAGGAAGTGGTGGCTGAGACTGGGCTGCTGCTTTTGGTGAAGATCCCACTGATGAACTTGAGCATCTTACGATCTCGAGCAGAGCCCTTTTGTCCCTGCTGGTTGTGGGGACCAGGCTGTATCTGGCTGCTCTCTCTGCCCACACAGAGGTCCTCTGCCTGGCTGTTAGGGTCAGTGTCATCCAAGGTACAGCTGTTGCCCCTGCGTGGGGGCTTGGGGACCAGGGTGACAGGAGCAGGTAGAGAAGCGGAACTGTTCTTCAGTCTCTCCATCCTGGGATTGTCTCGCTTTGCAACCGCTCCTCCTCTTCCCTCCTGTGTAACAGCTCTGTCCCCAGCTTCATCAGTCACTCTTTCTTGATTCCCTGCTCCATCTCCAGCTTCATCCCTAACTCCCTGACCCTGAGATCTGGCCCGACCCTCACCACTCTCAGCCCAGGAGGCCCGACAGGGACCAGGGGACCGGGTTGGGATTCTCCTGTCTCTGCTATCCAGGCTCTGGGATGACGAGGGGCTTTGCTTGGCCTCTCGGCGGCTGGTCACAGGGCTGGCCAATGGGCTGTGTGCTTTCAGCAAGGACCCTGGACACTGACCCCCCGTGCGTACAGGGATACTGCTCCTGGTTGGGGTGCGGTTGGGGTCGACTGCTACCTCTACTGATGTTGAGGTCTGCGGTGTAGTTGTGCTGCATGTTATCACTTTTGAGGTGACTGTTGTCGTCTGGTTGTCCTCTTTCTCCCTTGCTGCATCCTCTCCACCCGTTAACGTTTCAGTCTTCATATTGTCAACAGTGGAGGAGGTAATAACATTGTCGCCGTCTGATAACTTGTCACTTTCTTTAGGAGGAACATCGCCCTCAAAAGGTGCCTTGTCTCTTGAGGGGCTACTGGGTGATTTCCTCTCCTCCTTGAGTTCACTACCTTTTCCACCCTCCGGGACAGCAACATCTGCCTGGTTGTCCTGTGTGGAGAAGGGCTGTCCCTTCTCCACCCCAGCCCCATCCCCAGCCTCCCTCCCCTGGGTGATTGACCTGGCCTGCTCCCCTCCATGCTCTTCCACAGCCTCTACCTTGACCAGGGTGAGGGAGATGAGGTAGGTGGTGCGCTGGTGCAGCGTGTCGACTCGGCTCATGTGATCAGGCTTTGGTAGACACAGAGAAATTCAGAAAGAGCTGACACTGACATGGATTGATGACTGACAAGCTTTGAAATTCTGATCCTCAAAGGAAAATGACAGCAGGTGGGACAAACACAGAGAGAGAGAGAGAGAGAGAGAGAGAGAGAGAGAGAGAGAGAGAGAGAGAGAGAGAGAGAGAGAGAGAGAGAGAGAGAGAGCTGAAGTATCCCCTCAGGGGGATTAGAACAGAACTGCTACCCACTTTCAGATGTATTTTTTCACTCTTCTCTGCTTTTAGATTTAGGATTCCAGTCATCCATTGTCAGTGTTTCACTTAATCTTCCATCCATTTTCATGGAATGTAGAAAAATACAAAATTTTGCCCACAAATATCAGAATACACTGAAATCCATCCAGTAGCGTCCCAGTTATGTTAACCAAAAACATGCTATGGTAAAAACAGTAGATGTATAAATATGTGGATTCAATTATTCACTTGACCTTATTTGTGTTGTGTTGCTGCTCCCCCATCTCAAATGGTGTTCAACTTCATGTTCCATATTTTATGCAAAACGCAAATCAGAAAAAACAAAATCCGCTCCAAGTCACAATATAGTCTATCTCAATGCAACTGTCGATCAAGTGTCAGGGAAATTTGAAGCATTTTAATATTCCCATGTTGAAAAAAAACATTTGGTATGGTATCAGAAAATATCCTCACAGCCGTGCAGTCCAGACCATGGTTTATCCTCTTCAGCCATGTGTTCTGACAGGAGCCTCTACTCAATCAGAGAAAGGTTGTGGTCAGAGCGAAAGAGGTAGACAGGACAGTGATCCGGTATGATGTCGATCAGGAAGAAAAATACAATAGGATCCAATCGGAGGCAGAGATCTGGAGATGCATGACCGAGTCACAGCGCCCGGCCACCATCACGCCTCTCACCCTCGGTCCCTGTGTCTTCCAAGCGTGTCAGGCACTGTGCATGTCAATAGAACCACCGGTCTGTGAGGCTGAGCCAAGCCTCCGTGCTGAACACTGAACGTCTCTGGCTCTGAATCTCTCTGCTATACAGACAAATCAGGTTCGACATTAGTTTTTTTTTCAACAGTCGCACAGCTGGTACCCGGATAGTATGGATCCAGAGAGGAATCTTCTCAATCCCTTCTCCTCAATCCCTCCTCTTGATCCCCCTCCTTGTGTGAGCGCCAAACCAAACAGATAAGGAAAACCCTGTTTGTATCCTATCTCTGTTCCTCTCCCCCTCTCTGTCTCTTTCCCTCTTAGCAGGCAGACTGTGTGCGCTGTCCCTGCTCTTTATTGCTTGTCACTCCCCCTCCCCTCTCGCTCTCTCTCTCTCTCTCTCCCTGTCATAAATGGGGGAGGTGATGAGGCGTAGATGAAAAGGCTAGTGGTAAAACTCAGAGAAGCTGGACCTGGGGAAAGAAGGCAGGAGATACCAGAGGAGGGGAGATCAGGGGCAGAGAGATAGAGGGAGAGAAAGAATAATGAAAGAGGTGTGGAGAGGGTAATCAAGAGTGACAGTGGAATAGAACGAGGGAGAGGAAGGAAAATAGTGACTGCTTTATTTATCTCCTTCTCCTTTCTCTTGTATGTTCTTATTGCACAGATCCGTCACAGCCACTCAGTGTTATAGTTATTATCAGCATCCCCCCTCAGTCTTTACTCAAGATGCTGTGCTGGCTTGTTACTAAGGTTTTAGGATCTTCCTGGCTCCAGTGGTATTGTCCTAGCTCCTTTCCTACTCTCTCAGCAGAGGATCTCTATCTCTGTATCTTAATTGTGTGTGTGTGTGTGTGTGTGTGTGTGTGTGTGTGTGTGTGTGTGTGTGTGTGTGTGTGTGTGTGTGTGTGTGTGTGTGTGTGTGCGTGATGATCCATGTGTGAATGTATTGATCTGTAGCCTGTCTACCATATAAAGGATGTGTTCATTAGCAGAAGTGAGGATGAGAACATATTGGACATCAATAAGATTATTACACGTTACATTCAAATAAATAAAACAAGAAAACTGAAAATGTTCTATATCAGACTCATTAATGCCGTAATACATCTCTATCTAAATTTCAGATTTTAAAAAACATACAGTACATTTTATTGGTTTTCTTTGTAAAACCACGTACAGTTTTGTGAGGGTTGTTCACATATGGAATATTCACATACACTAGATTGACATCTCAGTCTCTCCCTGCTGACATCCTAATACATAACATCTGACTACCCACCTGCTCACACCTACTTCCCCTCCTTCTAACCCTCTCACAGTCACTGAGGGGGCCATGACCACACTCACACTGAATACAAAAGGCCCTGACAGTATTTAGCTAAAGGAGGGAAATACAGCCTAGGAACAACATGATGCAGTCTCAAACACAGAGGAAGTGCACTGAATGAATGTGACTGGTAAATCCACCTTAGGGCTAACGCAAAATGTTATTTTTAGAGAACAGGTAATTTATGCGTGAAATCCTGCAGAACATATAAAATCCCATTTTTAGTGTTCAATTTCTGTGCTCACATGTAAGAGGTTTGCGTATCTTTCTGTGCTGTCTCTTGATGAATCAAATGAATCTGATATAGACACCCACAGATTTGAGATGAAGAATCCGGTTGCCCAAGGCAAGGATTATCAGACACATGGGCTCGCTCTCTCTCTCTCTCTGACACACACACACACACACACACACACACACACACACACACACACACACACACACAGAGAGAGTCAGAGAGAGAGTCAGATGGACACTGACAGAGGGCAGTGTTGAGGCTGGGTGATTTTTCATATTACCCAGCTAGCACATCTGGTTCCTTGGAAGTTGTGGGAACGTATGTAATTGGTTTCACATTGGATGTGGGAACGAAGCCATACATTTCCTGACCAGTGAAACTGGACGTTTTTTAAACGTTCTGAGAACAGAAGTGAAAATGTTGCCTTTTCTGGGAATGTTTATTGTTAGGTTTCAGGGAGGTTCTGAGAAAGTTTTACTCTGGTTCCTTTAAAGTTTTCCTGGGAGGTTTTATTAACGCTCTGAGAATGGAAAATATAGGTTAGTTGGAGGTTTTTGAATAACTTCCTTAGAACTTTCACTGAATGTTTCAATAAGACTTTTAATAACACTGCTAGTTTATTTTGGGTAAACTTTTTTAAAACTCCAAGCACAGATATGACACATGGTAATTCATTTACTTAGGCATTAATCATGCAAACACATGTATTTTATGTTGTGACATGGCATCAGTGAGATTCAAACCTAGAATCTTCTGTTCTCTATTAATGGAATTAGTCCACTGCACCACCAGGATGGAACTAGCATGCCATGTTGTTTTAAATGTATTAAATGTAACCATGTTTGAACTTTTAGGAAATGTTCTGTTAAAGTAATGAAATACCAAGAAAATAACTTTTTTTTGTCAAGTTCCTTAAATGTGCTGAGAATGTTCCAAAGCCAAGCAACTATCCTGCACCATTCCCAGAACGTTGTGGGAAGGTTGTATGCAAAATAACCATAGGACAACCACGTTCTCACCAAGCTCTAAGAAACATATGGTTCTCCGAACGTTATGTGCTAGCTGGGTATTCCATCTTTGCTGTGAGCCATCCCTGGTCCTCTTTAAAAGGCCCAATGCAGCCGTTTTTATCTCAATATCAAATTATTTCTGGGTAACAACTAAGTACCTTATTGTAATTGTTTTCAATCAAAATGGTAAAAAATAAACCAAAATTGCTTCTTAGCGAGAGCAATTTTTCAAGCAAGAATTTTGCTAGGACTGTCTAGGAGTGGTCTGAGTGGGGAGGGGAAAACTAGCTGTTATTGGCAGAGAGGTTTGGAAGTCTCTTTCTTATTGGGCTATTAACCAATTTACTGTCTAGTGATGTCACCAGGCAGACCAAAACTCCATCCCACCAAAACAGGTTGAAATTTCAGGCAGTCTTTTTAAACAGCTCTTACACTAAGAGGGCATTATCATAATTCTCACAATTTCACAGTATTATTCCAACCTCATAGTGTGGAAATATATATAAAACACAGGAAAATCCCATTTTTGACAGCACTGGGCCTTTAATCTGTTTTCTCTACAGAAATCATCCACCCTCCCACTGTGTTGGCATGCTGCAGAGAACGGAGCTGCTGTATGTGACAGATCCTAATTCAAATGGCTTAATTCTGCACCCTGGAGCATCACTCCTTCTCCCCACTCTGTTTTTTTTGTCAGCCTATTTTTGGCACGGTGGCCTCTTCATCCGACTCACTTCAATTTCAATTCCTAACAGAAATGCCGCCTCTGACACCAGTGAAATACACACTATGGGCCCTGGTCAGAAGTATGGCACTATGTAGGGAATAGAGTGACATTAGGGACAGAGCCCATGAGATGGGTACCACAGAATGGACTGTCAGAGTCCTTGAGCGTGGCTGCCATGGAACGTTTGCTGACCAAAACATATAAATGATGCAAAATAAATGTTTAAATGTATATTAGGGAGATATCTTTCTGGCCATGCAGAGGTCTGAAGAGATCATTAAAATAAGTAAAAATGTGACTTCACGGAGTAGTAGAGCACCAGTGACTCTCAACTAATTAGGGATTCTGGTGACCTTTCTCTCACAGCCAAACAGGAGAGTGACTAAATTACCATATTTTACTAAATAATAGATTGATGATCCATAGAGAAAAGGTTTAACAATTATTTTCAACATCTCTACTCAATTTTGGTTATGGTTTAGGCTATCTCATTCATTAGTAAAACAGAGAATAGCAAGTGAATGACAATAAAACAATGATGCTCTGTGAAATCAAGTCAGAAACTAAACAAGAGTGGGAGGGAGGATGGAGGAAGTGACGAAAAGCGACAGAATTCGCATGCAAACTAAGGTTCTAGGATACTGTCGTGGTCTGAGAGGAAGTGGCTTTGAGGCCTACAGAAGAAGAGTGCCAGACAGCGTTTTGGTTGAACAACCCCACTGCCATGGCAATGGCCACAGAGACTTGTTGTTTTACCCTGTGTTCTGACTAAATAGTAGCTACACAAATCTTTTCAGAAAGAAAGTAAAATGGAAATGTTGAACTGAGAGAGAGGAGTGTGGAAGCACTCACCCCCACCACAGGAAGCCAAGAGGTTGATATTTTCTTGTCTGGGCGGCAGGTAGCTTAGTGGTTAAAAGCGTTGTGCCAGTAACCGAACGGTCGCTGGTTCTAATCCCCGAGCCAACTAGGTGAAAAATCTGTCGATGTGCCCTTGAGCAAGGCACTTAACCCTAATTGCTCTGGATAAGAGTGTCTGCTAAATGACTAAAATGTAAATCTTATCATGATCTGCAGTCAGTTGTTTTGAAACATATTTCTGGGTAACTGGTCAGTCTTGACCTTAAATTAAACCTCCACCTCCATCACAAACAATAGTACATTACACTTTACTTGAAAGGGGTCTACACAAGGCATAACAGTTGAGAAAGACTAATCAGTAGAAATAAATATATTTTCAGTTACCAACAATATTACATAAACTAATTTATCCAACCTATAATATGATCTAAGTCACATGTTTGAATGCTATACTTTAATTCAGTAACCCCGTGGAATTGATCTCACATATTCAAAACTGCACATTCTAATTTCTTGTCAAACACAGGTTGCACCTGCTGTGATGATAGGAGATCTTACCTTGAATACTGTGGAGGTAAACCTTCAGGCCAGAGCGGAGCTGCTGATCACCAACCCTCTCAAACTGCTTGAACAGTTTGTTGATTGTGTTCTGGACAGATTCATGCCGTTTTACCTCTGCTCTTATGGCAATTGACTGAGCCAATTTGTTGCTGCTATTCATCTTGAAGTATGTAGATTAAAATAAACTGGGTAAAGAATACAGTTGCTTCAGCCCATTTGAACTCCTCTCTTTTTCGTTCCACAAATGAACCGTTAAAATGCAAAAATATACTCCAAAAGAAAGGTACACTCAATAGTCTAGACCGCAAAACACCAGAGCTCTCATTGCAACGTGTTACAGTTTCCTCTGACGGCTTTGAACTCACTTCCTTATTTCAAACCATGTTAAAGCATAGTCTTATGTGCTCTAGGCAACACTAACAACTGCAAAGGTTCTTATTGCTGATTCAAAAGTCACACTATTTTCTTTTACATTATAATACAATTTCAGGTGCAATAGGTGCATTAAGTGTTGGTGTTTATAGATCTCTCCATGTTCACAATAAGGGTATAACAACAGGCCTATAGCAACACTGACAGCATCAGAGCCTCTACTTGTCTCCAGTTGCTGGTGTTGCTGGTAGCTGGTGTTGCTGTACATGACATAAAGCCAATCACAGTGATGCATGGGTAAGTTAATGTTTACATAACAATCATCTACCATTGAGTGCCTCCTGTGTCTCTCTCTACCTCTCTCTTTCTCACCCCTTTCTGTTGCATAATCATTGTTAAGGCTTTGGGAAATTGTGCACATTTTCTCTTCCATATACTGTAGGCTTGATGATGTCATGGCTTGCACATACGTCATGACAACGCCCTCTTTTCACTTGTGTGCTGTTGCCTGCCAGACCAACAACAAATCAGTTTAGCCAGTTACCCTGTTAAAGCTTTGCAATTAAAGCAAGGTCTTTGTTTTAGGATTTCGATAAAAAATACGAATATGGTCTGTGGTGGATTTACCTGCTCTAAAAATGCGCTTTGTTCCTTAAATGTGGTTTACATTGTGAGTATTGAAGTGGAACATATTAGCTAGCATCTTAGCTAGCTAGCTTGCTACACAGCTAAACTGGGTAGCTAGCAAGCCAGCTAACAGTTAGCTAGCTGACAAATGGAAGATTGTGTAACTAGCTAGCTAACACATTTTGAATTTCGTTTAACTAGCTTACGATGTCATCTAACTGGACATATGGGTAATTTCTGACGTAGATTGTTGCTTTTGCTAACGTTTCAATGTATTGTGTCAAAGATTTAACGTTAGCTAGCTAACCAGATAACGGTATCCTACTAAAGTTAGCTAACTGCTACATTAGAACGTATCATTGCTTGGGTTGGGAATAAAATAACGACATCTGCAAGCGAATAGCTAGTTAGCTAGCTACTCCAAACAATACTGTACATTAGTTAGCTAGCTGACTCAGCAGGGATTTGATTTAGCTATATAACTAGCAAGCTAACATTCCTACTAATTAGCAATAACACTAGCTCACAGTGAGTGTTATCTCCCTCGACCTCTGAATCATCACTGACACGTGTTACAGCTGTTCCACAAGGTCTGCAGTTAAGTCTATAATGCACGGTTTCCCAAACTCGGTCCTTGTGGGTGGGGGGTTTGGGAAACCCTGCTATAGTGCATAGTTCTCCTCTGCCAGCTCAGCCCTTAGATAATAGATCTGTGTGTGTGTGTGGTGTTTTTGTTTGGATGCATTCCTCAATCAGCACATTGGCCTAGTTAGTAGAAACTCCAAAGTAGAATGTAAACTGCCTCAACCGTGTTGTATCAGAGACAGTGGTTCCTTACTTGATTGTGTGTTTGGTTACCTCTTGCTATGACTCCTTCCTAGCCTGGTTCCAGATCTGTTTGTGCTGTCTTGCCAACTCCTATAAGCATTGCAAATATGTACCATGACCAAAGGAGTTGACAAGACAACACAACCACATCTGGGACCAGGTTAACAGTTTACTGTATTTGACTGCTTCTCTCCTCACCTCCCTCCTCCTCAGCTAGTAGGTGTGCTGCTGATAGGTGTGGCAGCATGGGGGAAGGAGTTTGGCATCGTGTCTAGCATCCACATCATCGGGGGGGTCATAGCTGTGGGCTTCTTCCTGCTTCTCATAGCCATCGTGGGACTCATCGGAGCCATCCACCACCACCAAGTCATGCTCTTCTTTGTATCCTTTATTTTTCCTGTAGGAGGAAGTCTCCTAACATGGCTCAGTTTGAGTCAGTCATTGGGCTTCAATGACAGTTTCCCTGACTTCATTGTATTGGGCAACAGTTTGGAGTAGTGTATCTATTAAGCCAACCAAAATCTACGTTTTTGTAAGAAAAGTGGCGATAAAATGAAAGATTAACCTCTCGTGAAGTTTTATGACATTTTTTTATTGTAAGAGACAAATATTTGATAAAATATGTTAAAAGTCCAGACTGGGCTTAATGGGTAACGAGTGTACCCTTTAAACCCGTGGGTGTTCCAAATAAGCCCACCTCTTAAATAACCCATTTTAATTCATATCCAAATGTTGAAAACATACAAACTGACAATTCTTATGGGATCTTAGATTATATTAATCTCCCCTAAAGTCATTAAAATAAACTGATCATCACTATTCATCATGACAGTAGCACTCATAACAGCTGGGTGTCCAATCATATCCACAGAGATCAGTGTGGATTTAAGCTTTTGTTTTTGCCAACTAGTACACACCTGATTCAACTATTCATAGACTTCAATCAAGACATGATTAGTTGAATCAGGTGTGTTATTCCTTAGTTAGGACAAAAACCTACACCCGCACCGTGGATTAGACGCCATGCACAAAGACCATAACACACACAACTTGTTTTTATTTTTTTGGGGGGTAGATCAGCTTTAATATTGCAGATAGATTGTAACTTCCATCAATGTAATTGTCTGCATCACTTCCAATCGCCCATATGTTTTTTTCTCGCAAATATATACTACCGTTCAAAAGTTTGGGGTCACTTAGAAATGTCCTTGTTTTCGAAAGAAAAGCAATTTTTCTGTCCATTAAAATAACATCATATTAATCAGAAATACAGTGTAGACATTGTTAATGTTGTAAATGGCTATTGTAGCTGGAAACGGCTGATTCTTAATGGAATATCTACATAGGCGTACAGAGGCCCATTATCAGCAACCATCAATCCTGTGTTTCAATGGCACGTTGTGTTTGCTAATCCAAGTTTATCATTTTAAAAGGCTAATTGATCATTAGAAAACCCTTTTGCAATTATGTTAGCACAGCTGAAAACTGTTGTGCTGATTAAAGAAGCAATAAAACTGTCCGCCTTGAGACTAGTTGAGTATCTGGAGCATCAGCAATTGTGGGTTCGATTACAGGCTCAAAATGGCCAGAAACAAAAAACTTTCTTCTGAAACTTGTCAGTCTACTCTTGTTCTGAGAAATGAAGGCCAAGAAACTGAAGATCTCGTACAATGCTGTGTACTACTCCCTTCACAGAACAGCGCAAACTGGCTCTAACCAGAATAGAAAGAGGAGTAGGAGGCCCCGGTGCACAACTGAGCAAGAGGACAAATACATTAGTGTCTAGTTTGAGAAACGGACGCCTCAGGTCCTCAACTGGCAGCTTCATTAAATAGTACCCGCAAAACACCAGTCTCAACGTCAACAGTGAAGAGGCGACTCCGGGATGCTGATCTTCTAGGCAGAGTTGCAAAGAAAAAGCATTATATCAGACTGGCCAATAAAAAGAAAAGATTAAGATGGGCAAAAGAACACAGACACTGGACAGAGGAAGATTGGAAAAAAGTGTTATGGACTGACGAATCGAAGTTTGAGGTGTTCGGATCACAAAGAAGAACATTTGTGAGACGCAGACCAAATGAAAAGATGCTGGAGGAGTGCTTGATGCCATCTGTTGAGCATGGTGGAGGCAATGTGATGATCTGGGGGGGGCTTTGGTGGTGGTAAAGGGGATCTTGAAGAAGGAAGGCTATCACTCCATTTTGCAACGCCATGCCATACCCTGTGGACGGCGCTTGATTGGAGCCAATTTCCTCCTACAACAAGAAAATGACCCAAAGCACAGCTCCAAACTATGCAATAACTATTTAGTGAAGAACCAGTCAGCTGGTATTCTGTCTATAATGGAGTGGCCAGCACAGTCACCGGATCTCAACCCTATTGAGCTGTTGTGGGAGCAGCTTGACCTTATGGTACGTAAGAAGTGCCCATCAAGCCAATCCAACTTGTGGGAGGTGCTTCAGGAAGCATGGGGTGAATCTTCAGATTACCTCAACAAATTGACAACTAGAATGCCAAAGGTCTGCAAGGCTATAATTGCTGCAAATGGAGGATTCTTTGACGAAAGCAAAGTTTGAAGGAAACAATTATTATTTCAATTAAAAATCATTATTTTTATCCTTGTCAATAGGATTTCCTATTAATTTTGCTATATTTCCTATTCAAACTAATTTCATGTATGTCTTCATGGAAAACAAGGACATTTGTAAGTGAACCCAAACTTTTGAACGGTAGTGTACAGTTGAAGTCGGAAGTTTACATACACTTAGGTTGGAGTCATTAAAACTCATTTTTCAACCACTCCACAAATTTCTTGTTAACAAACTATAGTTTTGGCAAGTCGGTTAGGACATCTACTTTGTGCATGACACAAGTAATATTTCCAACAATTGTTTACAGATAGATTATTTCACTTATAATTCACTGTATCACAATTTCAGTGGGTCAGAAGTTTACATACACTAAGTTGACGGTGTCTTTAAACAGCTTGGAAAATTCCAGAAAATTATGTCATGGCTTTAGAAGCTTCTGAAAGGCTAATTTACATAATTTGAGTCAATTGGAGGTGTACCTGTGGATGTATTTCAAGGCCTACCTTCAAACTCAGTGCCTCTTTGCTTGACATCATGGGAAAATCAAAAGAAATCAGCCAAGACCTCAGAAAAAAAATTGTAGACCTCCACAAGTCTGGTTCATCCTTGGGAGCAATTTCCAAACGCCTGAAGGTACCACGTTCATCTGTACAAACAATAGTACGCAAGTATAAACACCATGGGACCACGCAGCCGTCGTACCGCTCAGGAAGGAGACACGTTCTGTCTCCTAGGGATGAACGTACTTTGGTGCGAAAAGTGCAAATCAATCCCAGAACAACAGCAAAGGACCTTGTGAAGATGCTGGAGGAAACGGGTACAAACGTATCTATATCCACAGTAAAACGAGGAAGAAGACACTGCTCCAAAACAGCCATAAAAAAGCCAGACTATGTTTTGCAACTGCACATGGGGACAAAGATCGAACTTTTTGGAGAAATGTCCTCTGGTCGGATGAAACAAAAATAAAACAAAAATAGAACTGTTTGGCCATAATGACCATCGTTATGTTTGGAGGAAAAAGGGGGCACTTGCAAGCCAAAAAACACCATCCCAACCGTGAAGCACTGGGGTGGCAGCATCATGCTGTGGGGGTGCTTTGCTGCAGGAGGGACTGGTGCACTTCACAAAATAGATGGCATCATGAGGAAGGAAAATTATGTGGATATATTGAAGCAACCTCTCAAGACGTCAGTCAGGAAGTTAAAGCTTGGTCGCAAATGGGTCTTCCAAATGGACAATGATTCCAAGCATACAAGTTGTGGCAAAATGGCTTAAGGACAACAAAGTCAAAGTATTGGAGTGGCCATCACAAAGCCCTGACCTCAGTCCTATAGAAAATTTGTGGGCAGAACTGAAAAAGCGTGTGCGAGCAAGGAGGCCTATAAACCTGACTCAGTTACACCAGCTCTGTCAGGAGGAATGGGCCAACATTCACCCAACTTATTGTGGGAAGCTTGTGGAAGGCTACCCGAAACGTTTGACCAAGTTAAACAATTTAAAGGTAATGCTACCAAATACTAATTGAGTGTATGTAAACTTCTGACCCATTGGGAATGTGATGAAAGAAATAAAAGCTAAAATAAATCATTCTCTCTACTATTATTCAGACATTTCACATTCTTAAAATAAAGTGGTGATCCTAACTGACCTAAGACAGGGAAGTTTTACTAGGATTAAATATCAGGAATTGTGAAAAACTGAGTTTAAATGTATTTGGCTAAGGTGTATGTAAACTTCCGACTTCAACTGTATATATATATATATATATATATATATATATATATATATATATATACACATACACATACATATATAAACATATCCTTTAAAAAAATATATTTCCCTTTAATACTTTCCAACTCCACCACCCCTTCCCTAATTGGAGTAAACTAGTGAACAACAATGCTTAGGCCTCTACTTCCAGCTTATACATACTATATACATTTTATGGACATTTTATGGACACAGTGAATTTGACAATAATTCTATTTTGTTTGTTTTTACTCCTGAACTTCCTCTAACACACAACTTTTAATGAATTATCTGAATGCTGGTTCACATTTGCTGTCCTCCTATTCTTGTTAATTAGTTCAACTTGTCTTCCTGAAGACGGTTTCAAATATCCCTCTCTACTGTTGCATTACAAAGGTACATGTGGTGAACCAAAAAATAGAATCACCTGGATGAATGAGGGACAACAATATGACAATGCCCCGGCCCTAAATGCATTAGTAGTCGTTCTATGGTCATCTCCTTGTCCCTCATTTGTGTCTACTACTTGTAAGTCTTCTCTCTCTGCATCAATGACTACCTGTCTACTCCAAATGTCTTGGAGAGAGTACAGAGGCTTTTAATTGTTCTTAATGTGGGTAAAGGCACCATGGATAGATGCATAACTGTAGTTTTCGAGTATTTTAATCTGCATAAATCTGAAGAAAATACATATTTATGCTCGGGTTCATTGAATATTAGGGATGTCAACACACAATCCCCATGTGTTTCAATGCGTACTGGGCTTAATTGGAACAACAATAATTTATAGTTTAAAAAAATAAATAAGACAGAATAGCAAAGTTTAGTCATGAAATATTTGGAAACCAATTGTTTGGGGTATAAATATACACTATAGACTACAATATTATGCGAAGTTAGTATTGATCATATTGAACAATATTTATTTCCATTTCCAGGGGGTGCTTTTTGTGCTACTGTACCCTTTAAGCCCACCTGAGATAAATGTCAAAATTTCAAAAAATGTCCATGTATAATAATGCAAGGTTCATTTAACAGTAAAATAAGACAAAATGCAGAAAGAAATTTGAGCTGTGAGTGCTTGAGATCTATTATATTGTTGTGGTTCACCAAGTTATGTTGCTACTGTATTGACTGTGACGTGGTACGACTGCTAGCATGAAAAACCCATATTTTCAATTGGCAAGAAATAGTAATTAATACCCATGTAGTATGCTATCATGTGCATATATCAACACTCTTAATTTTACATGAAGTATGATCACTAGAAACTCCAATGTAGAATGTAGAAGCTCCAATGTAAAATGTAGAAACTTCAATGTAGAAACTCCAATGCAGAATGTAGGAACTCTCTCGATATAGGCCTAGAAGATAAATGACCAGTTTGTTGTTTCCTTAACCCGGGCCCTTGTAGTACATGATCATACTTTTCCTGGTATTCCTCGTCCAATTTGGAGTTTCATGCTCCTGCTTGGCCATGAACCAAGGGCAGCAGGTGAGTACCCATATACCCCTCAATCTCAACTCTGGAGACCTGGGACACCAGGTGGGTGAAGTTAATTATCAGGTAGAACAAAAAAACAGCAGGCTCCGGACCTCATAGGGTAAGAGTTGAATACCCCTGCCATAGACCCTACCCCCTAGGAACTTGTGTAGATCTGAAAGGAATGGATAGATTCTCTTTCTCTATCCATTTCAGCTATGCCTTGTCAGCTGTTCCCTTCCACTCCCTCTTTCTATGTAGAATCAATCTTTATGGCTGCGTTTAGACAGGCAGCCCAATTCGTTTTTTTTTTCTCACTAATTTGTCTTTGACCAATCAGGAAAAAAAGAGCTGATGTGAAAAGATCTGATGTGATTGGTCAAAAGACCAATTAGTGGAAAAAATATCAGAATTGTCCTGCCTGTGTAAACTGAGCCCATGTTCTCTTGTATTCCTACGCACTCATGTCCTCATGGACCTGTGGCTCAGTTGGTAGAGCATGGCGCTTGCAATGCAAATGATAGTGGATTCGATTCCCACTGGGGCCACCTAAAAATGTATGCACTCATGACCAAGTCGCTTTGGATAAAAGCATCTGCTAAATGGCATTTATTATTATATGTCCTCTCACTTTGCAGGAGAAGCTGCTGAACTCCACCTGGAGTCTGATGAGCAACAACACCAAGGGAGAGCTGGAGGGCCAGCTGGACTGCTGTGGCCTGCTCAACACCACCCTCAGCCAGAGGCAGTTTACCCAGGACTGGTTCAGCTGCACTGCTGTAAGGATTGGCTTTACTTGTAATGCATGTTCCTGCAAAATATGACCTGGAAATAGTTGTACTTGTAATACATGTGTCCTTCTGCTCATACTAAATATGGCGGGGAAATGGTAGCTGAAAAAAGTATGAAAATGTATGCACTCACTACTGTAAGTCGCTCTGGATAAGAGCGTCTGCTAAATGACTAAAATGTCAAATGTAAAAATGTAGCTGTATTTTACATTTCCCCCTTGTTCGTGATGAATCACCACAGGAAAATGTATTTCAGAAATTACTTGGTTTTATCCATAGGTAATGCCCTGTCACTGATAAATATGTGATGTAATGGTCAGAGAAGCTCTGAATGTTTCCACTTGCTTTTGCCAGTGTAGTGTGTACCTCGCTCACTGTGGTTTATCAGAGTATTTGCCAGTTGATCTACACACAGCTGAGACTGAGAGCGTGTCTGTCTTCCATTGTAGCCGTGTAAAGCCAGGAACAACTGCTACACCTGTGGTGACATGATGCTACAGCACTCTACAGAGGCTCTGAAGATCCTGGGAGGGGTCGGACTCTTCTTCAGCTTCACTGAGGTGGGTGTCTGAGCTGCAAGCTTTTCTTTAGGCACTTTTTGCTCTTTTCATACTATCGTGACCACCTGAACCCGAACCAAACTGCGCCAACTTGGATATTTTCGCATTGTCCACAATTCCAGGCACTATGGTGGATGCGAACCAGGCCAGCTCAGTACAGCTTGTTTTGGCTCAGTAGTGTGAAAAGCCATTTTGTATACCACATCCTTGTCTGAATTATGTCATCATTCTCTTCCAGATTCTTGGGGTGTGGCTGGCAGTGCGCTACAGGAACCAGAAAGACCCCAGAGCCAATCCCAGTGCTTTCCTATAGTCGGTCTAACCCCATGTAATTAATGCAATACTGTAGATTCACAATGAGAAGATACACTGGTACCTGGACATCTAGAAACACTCAGGAGTTTAAACTGGACCACAATCATACAAATGGGGTGCGTTCCAAATGACACCCTATTCCCTCTATTGTGCACTACACTCTAAAAAGAAAAGGTTCCTGGAGAATCCTTTAGGGGTTCTTCAAATTGAAACTGGGGGAAACCCCTATAAGTTCGTCAAAGATAAAAGGGTTCTTCAAAGAACCCCTTTTAATGGATCCTCAAAGAACCTTTTGGGGTGAATTGTGTAACTACCCCCCCCCCCTCCCCTATTATTATTAATAATAATAACACGCATAACAATAACAACAATATTTGAGTTCTCAGTGTTTATTATGATTTTAGTGGCAAAGCAGAATAAAACATCTAAATATGAGGTAGACTCCCAGCAGAGCCCCAAGTCCAATGGATATATCCTCTGGCCTGTTGATGTTGATGTGTTGATGTTCTCCGTATCCATAGCCAGAATGATTTAGCAGTGCATGGTGATCGAACAGGTTTCCTGTTATATTCATCAGAGGTGTAGGGAGGGTGAAGTCTGTGAATCCCAAAAATAGTAATTATACAGATGATTAACAAAACATGCACACGACATAATACATATCTTGGTTTTTGTGGTGAATATGAATGAAAAAACTGTTTTGATAATGGTTTTCATACACATACCTTGTCCATAATGTAGAGGACTATGGGATATTAATTGACGAGGTAAGGGAGGAGGATGGTAAATGTGATCAGCATAACATACCAATACCAATTGACATACCTTTGTATGCCTCCTCATCTGTATACCTACAGACACAAAAGTGAGCAGTTGTGTGTCAGTTTGGCAGTTATGTTCCTGCAAGAACCCCCACCAACTAAGGAGGTTCCTCGATGAACCCCACCTCCTATGGGGTTCTTGGAAGAACCTTTTGGGGGCCATTTTCAGTGCCAAGAACCCTAAGGTTCTTCAAAGAACTTTGAGGATCTTAGAAGAACCCTTGTTGAACCCCTAATTTTTAAGAGTGTAGTTTTGACCGGGGCCCATAGGGCTCTGGTCAAACGCAGTGCACTATATAGGGAATAGGGTGACATTTGGGAGACATCCATGGACAAGAGAGCGTACACAGAAGCTGACACACCCCTCAGATATACACACCTTCCTTAAATTCACACTGGACTAAAATACATCAACTACCTACCACATTAACCTCCGTTTGTGCAAGCCCTCTTCTTCATATTGCCTAGTTTAGATTTTGCAAGAGGTCAAACTTCTCGATGATTTTGGCAAGGATCCGGTTCTTATGTATGATAGGATAAATGGCTACCTCCATTGGGTTATTGTCCAGCCTTGATTTGAGTACCGGATCTTTGATGGCTGACTATATTCCAACCATGTAACCATAGACATCCTTCTACACGTGCCCTGCTGCACAGACATACCTACAGTACCTTGTTTTCTCCCATGCCTATTGACAACCCTAGTGTGTATAACGTTTAATAAGCAAATTAAATTCACCTTGCACTCCAGCTTTTCCTCCAACCTCTATGTAGTGTTAATTAGGCTGAGTATGGCCCTCTAGATTAGTGCTAGCTGTGATGTGTGGGACTACAGGATGGTATGTACCCACTGCTGTCAAATGCATTATTCAGGAAGTTTCTAATTTTCTCTCTTAACTTAATTTGAGGTGAAATGCTGTGCTGTCGTTTGATGTCGGAGTGAAAATGTCAGAAAGGAATGGGTGTGTATTGGACTTGTTGTGTGATGTAGTTTTGAAATGTATGTTTTTCAGATGAATTGATGATGGCGTAGATGCTGGTATTGTATTTTAGAAGTTAGATTTTAGATTGTCAAGTAGTTAATCTGATAGGATTAGGAATATTTATGAACTGAACTTGTGTAACTGAGCCAACTAATTAAAACATTCACATAAGTAAGTAGCTAGATTGCCAATGGACTGCAGCCATGATCTTTGTACATATATATCATATTTGGAAAGTTTTCAATATCATGAAAGACGGGTTTGATGCTTAAGATGATCCACACCTTATGCATTTACGATGTTCCTTTGTTTCACAAATGTCAGTAAGGGTAACATTTTAGTGACCTATGAGGGACATGGTAGTCAAGTACACTATGACCTCTCCTGCTACTTAAAGGTGCATTACGTTTATTCCTAATTCACTATTGGTTCTCGTTATTGGAAGTTGAAAATGTAAACAAGAGCAATAGTTCACATCTCTGAAAATAATTTAAATTGGTTTATGTTAAGATAAGAAAGTAGTAAGGTAATTTGGTTATTTCTAAGTCTTGTATTCTTCCAAAATAATTGTAATGAGTAATACAATGTTAAATGGCAACTTTAACTGGAAGAGAAATGATCTATTATCGATCCTTTTAAATTTTATCTGAAAATCAGAAGTTATGCCTAATTTGGTCGAAGCTATAGTGCAAACCTGCTGTACTAGTTTTATTTTCCTTAATCCTCAGTTTGTTTGTGCATTTGTTGTTTTGCTGAATGATGTTATTTGTTTTGTTTTCATTTGCTAACATGTTTTTGTTCAACAGTGTTAAAGTAATTTTAAAATATTTTGTCTTTTTTTTATGCTGATAATGCACAGCAGGCAGTTTTTAATTTGTTCAGTTCATTTTCTAGTATTAGTAAAATGTTTGTTAAAACACTGATAAAACATTACTCCTTGTTCTATGTCTTACACAGAGGTGTGGAGGAGTGTCATCTCATCTGGCCTCTATTGATCTGGATCAACCTTTAGGACTAACATGAATTGAAATGTCAGTGCTTGTATTAGTTGAACCACTTATGGTGAATGAATATGGTTTTGCTGGTGGATATGGTGCTTGAGTAGCGCCACTACAAGGTCTAATGCATATATATATATTATCTGTACGCATTATATTAACTCTGTACCTTAGACCATGTACCCTACTTAAAACCTTGTGCACTTATTATCCCAATTGTACCCTATCTTGCATTTTTTAGACTTGCATTTCCAAATAAAAATCACAAGATAAGAGAAATATTTTACGTTTACTATTTTGAGACTCACTTCTGGGAAGGAAATTATCTCAATTCACATTTGAGTAGTTATTTTGTAGTACACATTTTATCCATGGCCAGCAAAGGATTTGCTTGTTTTACAATGTGCAGCTCTCTCTATGTCCCACATGGTGGCAGCACAGCGCTTATACCAATTCAGCTGCATAACATCCATATTCACTTGCTTAAAAAAAGGAGTAAAGAGGAACTAGAAAAGGTGGACTAAAGCAATATATTCCTGGAAGATCAGCTGACTAACTCGCATTAACAGTATGATAGAGGCATTTAGTCCTACTGTATCTATTGAATATAAATGCCACATACTATACATTTTTCAGTCAGATTTTAAGGAATCAGGACTGGAAAAAATATTGAGGAAATTCTCTCAGACACGTGTACTTTATGCGACGGTTTCCCTGACACAGATCAAGCTTAGTCCTGGACTAAAAAGCATGCTTAATGGAGAATCTCCACTGAAAGTGCTTTTTAATCCAGGTCTAGGCTTAATCTGTGTCCGGAAAACCTGAATCTATGAGTATTAAGTCCTTTTCATGCCTATAATGTAAGTCTATTGATCCCCTTGTTGGGTCCCATGACAGCAGACTCTGGGTAATAATACACAAGAGACCATTTTGTTACATGCATTACTTTACCAATTCAAATAAATGGCAAATCCTTTTGAGTAAGCACTAACAAGTTTATTAACAATGGGAACATAACCTGAGTATCCCTAATGCCCTAGTCTATCCCTCCATGATTGCTACCACCATAGTATGTTATACATTGATTTTATGGTTATCTCGATAGGGGACTGATATTGACATATTGAATAAACAATCTTCCGATTCGTTGCACCATAGCTCATGCAAATGTTCAACACCCGCCCCTAGATGGGCTGTTTTAAGTGTAACCAAATTACATGAGGGTGTTTTAATAGGCTACGTATACGACTTGGCCGGGTGGTGTACCTGCATACAGGCCGGGCGGGGCCTATCCCCTGGGGCGTAGTAGGAACATTTATGTAAGTAAAATGTGCCTAGTAAGGACTTTGGGTCCTCAGAGTTTCCGGTGCGCAGACAGCAGTGTGGTTTAGACACCTCGCTGGTCCACAAACTGGGTGTGTGTTTTTGTGTGTGTGTGTGGTTCGGACACCTTGCTGGTCCCAATCATCCCCATCCTGTCAGTGTGCTCTCCTGAGGGCCCACTGCCAGTCCATGTCCCAAATGGCACCCAATTCCCTATTTAGTGCACTACTTTTGACCAGGGCTTATAGGGCTTTGGTCAAAAGTAGTGCACTAAATAAGGAATAAGGTACCTTTTGGGATCAGCCTGTTCCCTACCCTGTGATGCATGTCCATATGCCAGGTTTATTAACTTGGAGGAGTGGAGGAGCTGTGGAGATTCACACCAACAGGGACGACCATCTGGCCCATACAGATATTTTATGTGGTTGTGTGTGTGTCATGTAATGTACAATGCCTTTTCAAAGATATAAGTAAGGAATACAATATGCATCCTACAATATCTTAAAATTATGGATTATATATTATATTAGAGATCTGATTACATGGCTGTTTAAAAACCCCTAGTCTATCTAATTAGCATCATTTAAAAAATCCCATAAAAATCCATCTGTTTAAACTAGAGGTATCTGAAATATATTTTTTTTTTACATGGGCTGAGTCTCAATCCACCACATCTGCCGATATCGGCCTTCTGCATCTGTGGTGGAAGGTGGAACAGAGGTGTTTGTCAGACCAGGAGACATCACGAAAATTGGTCTTCTCAAGAAAATGTCTGTAGCTTCCAAACAATTTGGCCTAGAAACTAATATGACTCCTCTATGGAAAGAGGAGATTCTCATGACTCTACAACCCCCACTCGTCTGAAGTCGGTACCGCCGATCTGCCAACTTCTGTCTGTACCGTCCGAACAGTTTGGGCTACACACTATTATGACCCCAACATCGAAAGGTGAGACTCTCACGAACACGTACATGTCGGTTGTTTTGCTCTAGGACGCCCACAAGCCTCACAAAACTCATCAGAGTTTTAAAAATGTATGGAAGTATACTGTATA